CCAAGTTTTGGCAGCCTTCTCTGGCGAACAGTGGATCATCTCGGCCCAATGCACTGCTGGGCTCTCAACCTGATCGGTGATATCTCGGCCCAACTCCAGATCATAAATCACCCTCTCATTGCCCCTTAATTCCGTCCGCGGAAGCGTGACTGGGATTACTCACCTCGACCGAGACAACGTTTCTCGGTCGTCAAGTGCCAAGCCTCGACCGAGCTAGTTGACGTAATTGTCCGCAGATTTGACCGGTTATATTCCTCGGCTGACCTATTCTCGTCGAAAGTAGCTCGGTTGGCTCTTCGTCTTTTCAACCCGTCGCTTCAGTCCTGTCAAAGCCATAAATGGGGGACACGTGGCGGTCTGCCATTGTCATCGGGCAGCCAACCCGCCGTTTTTGCCAGAATTTGAATTTGGGCGGTTTTCTTGCTTATACATCATGCCCTCTCGAACTCCAAGATCCTCTTTCTGCCATTTCGACATTCGATCCCAGAGCTCTTGCATCCTCATCCAGACTCGCTGCATTCTTCGTGCTTTGAAGGATTAGGTCTACTCTTCACTGGTAAGTCATTCCACCCTCATTTCGTTGTTATTTTCTCTCGTATTGCACATTAGGGCACAAAAACGTAGCATTTAGGGCAAGGCCATAGAATCTGTCCCAAACCCCCCACTGTTCTTGGTGTCTTCGTCTTCCTGAAGAACGCTGAAGAACTGGGGTGAACCGGGCTATGGGCCTTCTTTTGATCCAAAAAACCAACCAAACCGGGCAAACAACATGTTTGTTTCAACCCCAGCGAAAAACCGAGATAACAAAGGACTTGGCCGTCAACCGGGCTAACATCTGGTCCGCTTGGGCGACCGAGGCTCCTTAGATAGGTAGACAACCGAGGTTGTTTGGCACCTTAATGACCGAGCTAAAATCCAGCACCTTTCGCGCGAACCGCGCAACACTTACACTTGCCATCCTTTTCCTGCAGAGTCCAAGGGGACCACTTTATTCCTGAGGCTCTCAGGACCGGGGCAACATTCAATACCAAAGCCAAACCCTCAGCCGGGATACACTAGGCCGCCAAAAATGGGAAATTCTGCTTCCTAGTGGATACTCGGCTGCGCTGGCTACGTTCAGGGAGGAGTACGCGTCCGGCGATGTCCACCTGCAGCCGCAGAAGAGGAGACCACACCTTGGGGTAGGGAGGAGTGCCCCTCACCGTGCTATCCATCGTTGAAGGGGGTCTTCTGTTTCCGCTGCAACCCTCTTATAACCGAGTTCCTCCGCCGCACCGGGCTGGCACCCACACAGGTGTCCACCAACAACTTAAGAATAATCAACGGCGTTCACGAATTAAACAATCGACTAGGCATCAACTTAGGTCTAGCCGAGATACTGAGGCAATACACTATGGGCCATACCGGTGATGGCTAGCTTACTATTTGAAAATAAGACGGCAAGGGAAAAAATCATAACCGGCACCCCGATAAAGACATGGCATGACGACGATTTTTTCTGGGTTCGGCAACTACGAAACAGCCGAGGTCCGGGCTGGTCTATAAACAAAAACTCGGTTCTTCATGATGAATACAAATATAATTATATTACTAAAGTGATACATGTTAGAAAATTAAAAGTATCCGATGGTAATATAATATTACAGATTGATAATGTATGAATACAGTAACATATATAAATTTACATTTTATATTTTATATGTATATATATATTTATATATTTATATGTAGACATTGACATATATAAGATATCACAAAAATAATATGTGAAATATTTTGTAACAATATAATATAGCTAACAATGAAAAATTAATTATTTAAAATTAAATAATTGGTAATAATTTTAGGGGGAGCAAATATTCCGGCGTGCCCGTATTCCTTTCTTCCGAGTTCCGTCGATATCCGATCACCTGCGAGCAAGTAACGGTGAGCTACCCGGCGGTGTGTGGCCAGAAACACCCTCCGAGTCTGTCTCACGGAGTTTGAGCTGTTTGAACGCATCATAATACATGATCTCGACCGAGCTTCCCTGATCGATCAAGATCCGTCTAACATCAAATTCTTTGACGCGTAGTGTTACTACAAGAGCATCGTTGTGCGGCGTCTGGATACGCTCTAAATCCCTTGAGGTGAAACTAATCACATCTTGCGCGGCTGGAACTTCACATCGAACTGTCCCAACTCGACCGCCCATTTTAATATTCGGCTTGAAAAGTCTGCGCGCTCAAACAAGGCCTTTAGGGGGAACTCGGTCAGTACGACGATGGTATGGGCGTGAAAATAATGTGCCAATTTCCTCGAAGCCATCATCAGTGCCAACGCAAGCTTTTCCAGCGGCAAGTACCTCGTCTCAGCCGGCAGCAAGGTCTTACTTACGTAAAAAATTGGGAGGTGCTTGATCCCTTCAGCCCGGACTAACACCGCACTTACTGCGTGCTGGGAGACGGCAAGGTAAAGGTAGAGTTCCTCACCGGGCTCTGGTGTAACCAACAGCGGCGGAGAAGACAAATAATCCTTGAGCTCGGCCAAAGCTCGGTCACACTCGTCATCCCATGAGGACTTTGACTTCAATGCTTGAAAGAAAGGGCGGCAGCGATCTGATGACCGGCTTATAAATCGATTAAGCGCGGCGGCCATCCCGGCCAGATGCTGCACGTCCTTAGCCGAGCTGGGCTGTTTCAATTCTTGCACGGCTCTAATCTGAGTAGGGTCTGTTTCGATGCCTCGGTTCGTGACTAAGAATCCCAAAAATTTCCCGGATCCCACGCCAAAGGCACACTTTGAGGCGTTCAAGCGCAGCTTGTGCTTCTTCAGAATGGCGAACATCTCGGCTAAGTCGGACAAATGGTTTGCCTCATGTCGGCTCTTTACCACCATATCATCGATGTAAGCCTCCATTGTCCGGCCGAGCAAAGGAGCGAACATTTTGGTCACCATCCTCTGGAAGGTTGCCCCGGCGTTTTTCAAACCAAAGGGCATAACTCGATAGTAGAAGAGTCCCCTTGGAGTCGTGAAAGAGGTGATCTCTTGGTCAGGCCCATGCATGGCAATCTGGTGATAGCCCCGGTACGCATCCAAGAAACTAAGCCGATTGTGTCCAGCAGTCAAATCCACTAGCTGGTCAATGCGCGGCAAAGGGAAGCTATCTTTTGGACAAGCTCGGTTGACCGTCTTGTAGTCGACACAAACTCGCCACTTTCCATTCTTCTTAGGCACCACTACCGTGTTGGAAATCCACCGAGGGTAGTGCACTTCCTGTATTGCTCGTGCCTCAAGCAAGTTCTTTACCTCCTCTGCTACTACCTCGGCGTGATGCAGCGCCGATCTCCTTGTTCGCTGGATGACTGGCTTTGCTCCAGGGAAGATATTGAGGTGATGGCAGACAAAGCTTGGGTCAAGGCCAGGCATGTCGTAGGGCGACCATGCAAAGACTTCGATATTCGCCATCAAAAACTCAATCATCTCGGTTCTCTCCATGGCCGAGAGACTGGAACCGAGCAAGAAGAATCTGTCCGGCTGCTCGGCATCAATCCGCACCTCAACCAATCTTTCAACAGCCTTGTCTTCGGCTTTGGTGCCAACATCATCCAAGACACTCCGGTCCTCCGGTCCCTCGATCATTTGAACGAATCCTTTGGCAGCCCGGCTCCCGTTGACCGCCACGAAGCATTGCTTGGACATGACCTGATCACCCCAAATCTCCTCGATTGCCCCCATAGCCGAGGGGAATCTCATCACCTGGTGGTAGGTCGATGCTACGGCTTGCATGGCGTGAAGCCATCCTCTTCCAAGGATAAGGTTGTACGTTGAAGGCACTTGTAGCACCCAAAACTCCACTTGCTTGATCACAGATCCTGCTTTGACCGGCCGGATAATCTTTCCCAATGGCCACTCCGGCTGCGAGTTAAATCCAACCAGTGGCGAAGTGGCCGGAGCCAAGTCTGTCTCACGGAGTTTGAGCTGTTTGAACGCATCATAATACATGATCCCGACCGAGCTTCCCTGGTCGATCAAGATCCGTCTAACATCAAATTCTTTGACGCGTAGTGTTACTACAAGAGCATCGTTGTGCGGCGTCTGGATACGCTCTAAATCCTTTGAGGTGAAATTAATCACGTCTTTCTCTTCTGTCTTCCCCCTTTTGATGGCAGGCTGCGATCAAGATCCGTCTAACATCAAATTCTTTGACGCATAGTGTTACTACAAGAGCATCGTTGTGCAGCGTCTGGATACGCTCTAAATCCCTTGAGGTAAAACTAATCACGTCTTTCTCTTTTGTCTTCCCCCTTTTGATGGCAGGCTGTACCGACAAAATTTCCCTCATATGCTCTGCTTTTTTGATCATGCCCCGGAGTTCGCAAACACGCTCCGGTTCCACGATGCCGTGGATGACATTAATAACTCCTTGTGGTGGTGCATCTCGGTCATCCTGTCCCCTGGGATCGACCGGAGCCTGATTCGGTTTTACGCCGCCATTAATGTAAAGGTCCAGATGTCTGGCCGCAACCAGTTCTTCCAAGTGTTGTCGCAAAGGCAAACAATCCTCAGTCCGGTGGCCTCTCTCCCGGTGGAACATGCAACGATACCGCGGATTGTAGCCCTTTTGTCCATCGCCCAACTTAGCAGGAAACCGGACATATTCCTCGTCTTGGATTTCACTAAGTATGCGATAGATTGAAATCTTGAAGACCGTGGTTATGCCAGTCCTCGCCTTCATTCTTCTGTTTGCGTCCTCTACGTCATCCCGGGGGTAGTCATCCCGGTCATTCCGACGTCCTCTACCCCGGTTTTTACGATTGGTACCCCGGTCTGGTTCCTCTGCTCAGTCACTTGAGCGGCTGGACTCTTGCCCAACTGCGTGCACTTTGCCTGCTGTCTTCTTGTCTGTTACGACCGGACTGGATTTCATGGTAGAAGCCGACGCGTCATCCTCCACACGGATGTGCTCATTGATGCGCTGCAAGAGCTGGCCCATGGAGGTCGGCTAGTGGATGGTAAGCGAGTCCCGCAGTCTATGTCCGACCGGGAGACCGCGCTTATACTGCGTGATTGCTAGGTTGACCGGGCAGTCTAGGATTTCGTTGAAGGTTTCCCAATACCTTGAATTGTACGCCTTCAGTGTGTCGCACGGTTCCATCTTGACACTTAGCAAGTGATCGACTTCCTTTGGTGTTTTTGTGTTGGTTTTGAAGCGCGTAACAAACGCCTCGGCCAACTGATGCCACCTTTGTATGCTCCCTTCCGGCAACCTCTCAAACCACTTTAAACCCAGCTCGTCCAAACTTGACGGGAAGATTAGGCACATAAGTCCGTCATTCCGCCTATGTCCGGCCATAACCTGTCGGAAGTGACTCACATGCATGTAAGGATCGGTTTTTCCGTCAAATAAAGATTGTAATTCATTAGCTTGCACTTCTTGTAGTGTTGCTAAGATACATAGGTTGCCTTTCAAGTTGTCTACTTCTACTGTTAATAAGCCGTTTTCTCTTGTGCATACTGTTTGGCGGGGTGGAGGCATTCCGACCTCCTCGCTGGCGTGAGCCCCCATAGGAGAGCCGCTGGAAAGCTGGTATTCTCTGAGCTTCGCGCCGGCGAGCCCGCTCCCTTAACACTGCCCGTAGGTCCTCTGACTGAGCAGAATAAGAGTACCTCGACGTCGTTGCCGGACGTGAGGCTTTGTAGGTACTGTCTTGCGCGCTAGACTTTTCTGCATGCACGTCGGAATCACCAACCTGGTAACTCCTGGTGATGGAAATGGACTGAGTACGTCGCTGACTCTGATCGCCTGACCGGCAGGACGGGGTGCGCTCACTGTGGTCTCCCACTCCGGCTACACCTTTCCCTTTGACATGCCGCTTAAGATCCTCCATCTCCGCCGCCATCCACCTGATAACAGCGTCTTGGTCCTTTAACTTGCTTTCCAGTCGCCTGGCGTATGAGTCTCTCCGCCGGTGACCGTCTGGACTCCGTGATCGCCCATGACTCCTTCCGCGCTTATCCCGCGCGTCTCCTGACTGTCCTCCAGTGGGCGTCCCCAAGTCAGCCATTGGATGGACGGCAGGAGGTCCCCAAGTCAGCCAAAATGCACTTGAAAACACTTGGTCAAAATGTTGAAAACAGGGTCCTCGCTTGAGTGCAACTTCCCACGCTCGAGCGGACATGAAAACATATGAGGGGTCGCTCGACCGCAACTTCCCTTATTCGAGCGGTCTACAAACTTTTGGAAAAGTACTGGTTTTGTGATTTTCACGTTCGACGGACGCTCAACAGTCGCTCGATCGTGAGACTTATGCCCTCGCTAAAGCACAACTCTTGCCACTCGAGCGGTCTGCAAAAACATGGAACTTCTGGGAGCATGCATTTCACGCTCGAGCGAATTTCAGGTCGCTCGAGTAGAAGTGCAAGATCACAAAGTGGTCGCTCGAGCGAAAAGGCAAAATCTGAAATTTCCAGATTGCTCTTCTCAACTCCAAATTCAAATCTGAAGCTATAATTCACATCCTTTTGGACCCAAAACTTAAGATAACATGTGTAAACGTGCAAAATATGAAGGTATAAAGATCATCCCATGAAATCAAGGCCCAAAAGTATGTCAATTGTGCAACATTCAACTTGAAATGTAAGAACATGATGTGAACATGTCATGTATGTATTCATTTGAGTTCATAGCTTCCCAAAATATGATCAAATGAGATATTCTACTCAAAAACATGGTGAATTCTTAAACTACAACTAAAATATGAACATACATGTGAGAATTCTTATGAAAACAACTTCAAAACTTCATGATATGGACATGCATGTATGATTTGAGTTACAATTCTTTAATCCTGGCTCATTCTCATGTTAGTCCATCTCCTTAACTTGAATTCTTACAAAAACTAACTCAATTACACAACTAAGGGTTAGATTTCTTACCTAGGCTTGTCAAGATGAGAGCTAGAAGCTTAATTTTGAGTTTCTAAGTCCAAATCCTTCAATTCTAGTAAATTCTTGCTCAATCCTTCAATCCTCTAGTTGAGACCCAACTTCCTTCTCTTTCTCTCTCTCTCTCTTTCTCTCTCTCTCTCTCTCTCTCTCTCTCACATGTTGAGCTCAAAGATGAGGGAATGTGGGTGTAAAAATGTGTATCTTACGTTGAGCTCAAAGATGAGGGAATGTGGGTGTAAAAATGTGTAGGAGAGATAGAAGTGGCCTTATATAGGCCTACTTAGTGATATATAATAAATTTGGCTTAAGCTAAGCAAAGTGGCATTAATTAATCTAATTTAAGTTCCAAATCGAATTTCAATTGAACCTACCATAAAATTTTAAAAATCCTTATTATCACATAAATCAAGTCATTTTCTGAATCGGATGCCGATAAGGCCTTTAATTCACAAACCGTAACGAAAACACGAACAAATCTTTCTACGCTAAACAGATATAAGCACAATATTGCAACACACACATGCAATTTAACTCTAAATTTATCTTAATTACTGATTAAGCTTATTTAAACACGAATTAACGTAAATCAAAGGTCGGGGTTGTTACATTAGTTTAGTAGGAAATGCGTATAGATGGAGATGGTAGTGAGTGTACAATATTATAGAGTGTCATTCTAATTGTTTTCATTTGGTGGGTGGGTGTTCTAT